GGTATCTGGCTCCGATGGGGGCAGGCCTTGCAGGGGGTGGGGGACATCCAGTCGGCTCCCATGGTGACCCGCGACAGGACTGTCTCGCCTCCCCTGGCCCCTTCGCCCGCGGGAAGGCTGGGCGATAAATGACTGTGATACCCAGCTCCGCTTGTGGAAACACAGTGGGCGCCCGGGCGAGGGAGGCCCAGCCCTTGTCATTCCCAGCACTCTGGGAGGCCCCAGGAGGGCAGGATCGCTCCAGGTTGCAGGCCAGGAGTTGGAGGCCAGCCTGGAGCCAGAGCGGACCCCGTCTCTACTAAAATATGGAATAAAAAAACTTACCAAACAACTAAAAATATATGCGAAAAAAAGCGCAGGTTGGGGGAGGCCACGCCCTGTGTCCCAGTACTCTGGGGAGGCCCAGGAGGGAGGATCGTCCAGTTGAGGCCAGGAGTTGGACGGCCCAGGGCCTGAGCAAGAGCGAGGACCCATCTGCTACTAAGCCTATATGAAAAAATCCTTCCAAAACAACAAAAATATATGGAAAAAATAGCCAGGGTGGGCGGAGGCTCACGCCTGTCATGTTCCAGCATCTGGAGGCCCAGGAGGGAGGCAATCGCTCCAGGTTGAGGCCAGGCAGTTTGGCAGGCCAGCCTGAGGGCAAGAGGCGAGACCCTGTCTCTACTAAAAAATAATAAAAACCAATTACCCAAACAAACTTAAAAAATATATGGAAAAATAAGCCAAGGCGGGAGGCCCACGCCTGTCATCCCAGGCTTTACTCTGGGGAGTGCTGAGGCGGGCAGGCGTCGGCTCCGAGGCCAGGAGTTGGAGGCCAGCGCTGAGCAACGAGCGACGGCCCCCGTCTCCTTGCAAAAAAATTCACCAACAAGCTAAAATATACTAGAAAAACTAGCGGGGCGCGGTGGGTGACCCCGGCTGTGCCCCGTCCGCCCCGCACGGTGTGGCGGCAGGCAGCGGCACCTGCAGAACGTTCTAGAAGCTTAAGGGGGTGGGCGGCGGGTCCAGGGCCCCCACCCTGTCTGTGCCTGGGTAGGGGAGCCCGCCCCTCCCCCACGCCCCTCCCCCACACCTGTCTTCCACGCCCTCCCCACCGGATGCCCCTCCCCCCATGCCCCTCCCCCATTCTCCTCCCCACTGCCCCTCCCCCACGCCCATCCCCCATACTCCCCATGCCCTGTCCCCATTCTCCTTCCCCATGCCCCTCTCCCCATGCCCGTGCCCTCCCCCATGCCCGTGTCCCCCATGCCCGTGTCCCCCATGCCCGTGTCCCCATGCCCCTCCCCAATGCCCGTGTCCCCCATGCCCGTGTCCCCCATGCCCGTGTCCCCCATGCCCGTGTCCCATGCCCGTGTCCCCCATGCCCCTCCCCCATGCCCGTGTCCCCCATGCCCGTGTCCCATGCCCCTCTCCCCATTTGCCCTCCCATGCCTCACCCCGCATACCCCTCCCCATGCTTCCCCCTTCTCCTCCCCATGCCCTCTCCCCCAGGTGCCCCTCCCCATGCCGCCCTCCCCAGTGCCCGCTGTCCGCCCCCATGCCCGTCGTCCCATTGCCCGGTCCCCCATGCCCCTCCCCATTTAGTGCCCGTGTCCCCATGCCCCTGTCCCCCATGCACCCTGCCCCCTGAATTTGCCCCCTGTCCCCCATGCCCCTCCCCCATGCCCGTGTCCCCCCATCCCTCCCCCACCTGCCGGACCAAGGCGGCCGCTGCCATCATGCACATGATCATGAACAACCTGGACCCCGAGGTGGCCCAGGTAACCGCAGGGGAAACTGAGTCATGCTGGTGTCTGCAGCGTGGGGCAGGGGCGGGATGTCACTCGCGGCTGTCAGCTTGTCACCCTGAGAAGGTGACAGGTTCGCACGATGTCACCAAGCGGGGGCAGGGAGGTCCCGGGGCCTCTTGTCTCCAAAGGGGTCACACGAGTCCCGGTGACAGTCACACCTGCCGGTCACCCGGGGCCTCTTGTCTCCAAAGGGGTCACGCGAGTCCCGGTGACAGTCACACCTGCCGGTCACC